AAGCAGAGCTGCTGCAAACAAACACATGAAATAATTGCAGGTATGCATTTTGCACACCTGCAGTTAGCTGAGTGCTGAGGCGGAGTTAACACGCTAAATAGACAAAAAATAAATAAATAAAAAAAAGAAAAGCTGCTGTCGCTGTTGTCATGGTTACCTTCACATCACAGGGATTCTGCAGACGTGTGTGATTCTCCCCACTGGTCATCTGTGACATGTTTTCTGAAACAAACATTTCCACAAGGAAAAAGTCCGAATGAGTTAAAGTAACTTCATGAGAGGAGAGGAGGCTGAGAGTTTGTTACTCGCTGCGACTCGACACGTTTATTGATCCGACAGACGACTTTAACCTGATATCAACTCTTAATGTTGACAGAGGTCAAACTGATTCCAGTCAGGCCTCGAGTAAAATAATATTCAATAACAAACTTTATGTGATGACAATCTAGTATTGACTGTGCTGCTCCGAGTGTCTGATGATGAAATCAATGAACTCCGCACAGCGCTTTGGGCAATAACAACAACACGGAGGTTGTCTCCTCATTTAAGCACTGTCTGGCTTGTTTGTTGAACAGAACCACAATTATTATATATTAAAAAACTCTAAATCCAACATTTATTAGATTCAGCCCACTTGGAATCCGCAGGAGAAATGACTTCCTTTGCCTCTGGCCTGATTTGTGAACTGTGTCAGCGCACTGGGAGCATCTGCAGTTCGCTGCACCTTGCACAAATTTCAACCGTACCATTAATCTTTAAGTGCTGGTCCTGTGAAATGTTTATTTAGCCTTGATTTTTTGTGTCCTCGATAGAAAAACAAGACCTAGCTCAGATTAAAAACTACTGAAGCAAACATTTTTTTAAAACAGAAAACAGCTTTTCTGATGATGCTCTGAATGTTTTGTCATTTTATCATAATTTATCTCAACAAAATACACCTATTTATGTCAGAAAATTGAGACAACGCTTTACTTTGGAAACCTAAGTCTGTAATTTATCTTAATTTGCAACACTGATGAGTTTTTGTCGTTCAGTGTGTGAACTATGGAATGTCACAGAGTATCGTGCATCATTGTTTAAAATTTTAACCTATTAATTCTAAATATATTAAAGTGCCTGCATGTTCTTCAAACACAAAAGTCAAAGAAAACATCTTTATATTTAAGAAAGTTGGAACAATACACACGATTTAACCCATTTTGTCCCATAACTGGCATCTTTTGAACTTGGCTCAGCCGAAGTGAAACAGGAAGTGACATCAAAGGGGAACTCTTTAACAAAGAAAACTCTCTGGTCTTTGTTTATTGAAACAGTAATATTTGATCTCTGAATTTTCCTTATCTCTCTCTGATAGTGACTCAAAAATAATCTTAAGAAACATCAGATTCTTCTCTACAGTCTGGGTTTTTAGCTGTTGTAGCAACACTCTGTTCATATTCCCCTTTGACATCACTTCCTGTTACTTCACAGGGTAAAATCTCAACAACTGTTCATCTCAGCAACATCAAATTTTTTTTGCAATATATTATCAATGTCCTCTTTCTAAAAATACATTCATATGTATTACAAAAAATTGACGTCACAGGCACTTAATGTGTGTCAGAATAATTTGCTGCTTTAAAAGTTTTTTTTTTCAAATTTATTTCTTGGTGGATCAAATTGAGTGTTATGACTCACAAGGTTTTTAATCAGCATGATTTATCAACTAAATGATTTTTGTTGTTTCTCAAACATATATAT